TGCCGATTTGAGGAATGTCGGATGAACCCTGCTCCGGGGTAACCTCATTGATAACTTCATCGCCATCATTATCTTGAGTCAGGTCCAGGACTTGCTCATTCAGAGAAGGAGACTTAGCCTCAACAGCCTCCTTGGATTTTCTTATTAAACCCTCCTCCTCACCCCCCTCTACATCTTCAGACTCAGATTCAGATTCTTCTTCAGGATGACTTGGAGGAGGAGGGGGAGGGAATGACAGGGGGATATCATCAGCCTTGCGTAATGGCGAGTCATCTGGGATGTTGAGTTTTTTGGCAAGGGCCATCCAACCAAGGGAGAAGCCCCTGTTGCATGCCTGCCTAACTTGCAGTTTGTACTCCTCAGCAACATCGGCCATTCCTTAGGCGTAAGCTTTTTCATCGGCTTTAATCTCAGCATCTTTGGTAACTACCAGGGCCTGCTCGAGCTCTTTTTCAGCTTGAGCCTTTTTTACCTCGGCATCTTTCTTCTCGGCCTCGGCAACTTTTTTGATGGCTTCAGCAGACTCCGCTTTTTCTTCGGCCATCTGTTGGGCCTTAGTGGCAGCCTCGGCCTGATCGTCCAGCTTCTTCATCTTTGTTAGAATAGCTTTGTTCTCCTTTTTGAGGGCAGAAACCTCCCTCTTCATGTCGGCCAATCTTTGCCGATTTTCAAAAGATTGCATTGAAAACGAAACTTCATCGCCATCATTATCTTGAGTCAGGTCCAGGACCTGCTCATTCAGAGAAGGAGACTTAGCCCCAACAGCCTCCTTGGATTTTCTTATTAAACCCTCCTCCTCACCCCCCTCCACATCTTCAAACTCAGATTCGGATTCTTCTTCAGAATGACTTGGAGGAGGAGGGGGAGGGAATGGCAGAGGGATATCATCAGCCTTGCGCAATGGCGAGTCATCTGGGATGTTGAGCTTTTTGGCAAGGGCCATCCAACCAAGGGAGAAGCCCCTGTTGCATGCCTGCCTAACTTGCAGTTTGTACTCCTCAGTGACGTCGGTCATTCCTTGAGCATAAGCCTTCTCGTCAGCCTCCTTAATCTCAGCATCTTTGGTAACTAAGGCCTCCTGAAATTCCTTTTCGGCTTGGACCTTTTTGTCCTCGACCTCTCTCTTTTTGGCCTCGGCGACCTTCTTAATAGTCTCAGCAGATTCGGCTTTTTCCTCGGCAAGGGTTTGGGCTTTGGTGGCAGCCTCAGCTTGGTCCTCCAGTTTTTTCATCTTTGATTCGAGAGTTTTGTTCTCCTTTTTCAGGGCAGAAACCTCCCTCTTCATGTCGGCCAATCTTTGCCGATTTTCAAAAGCTTGCATGGAGAGAGAGTGGGCATGTTGGATGGCCTGAAAGAACACAAGGCACAAATTGTTACAAGATTTTACAAAGTAAGAGAGAAAACAAATTTCAGCATAAAGGCACTTACTTGGACAGAGCGTTGCAGCATAAAGGCGTAGTTCTCATACTCACTCATCTTAGCATTCCGCTCAAGATCGCCTGGGAGGAGTAGAGCAGTACTGAGTGCCACGCCGACGTTTATATCATCGGCGCTGTCGCTGGCAAGGACAAGCTTATCTTCTAGAGTGATCTCAGGTGTCCAGGGGACTTTTGGTATTCTGAAACCCGAGGTCGTCGCAGACGATGACCTCGACTTCTTTGATTGGGTGGACTCTGATGGCTGGGCCTCAGCAGACCTTTTTGCAGAAGCAGAAGCAGTTTTTTTACTCTCAGCCAATTGTGAGATGGGCAGAGCATCCTCAACCTCAACCTCAGTAGCTTTAGCCTTGGGCTGGGCCTTTTTGATTCTTTTTGGCTTTGGTGGGGGCATGGATTGAGTCGGAACAGCATCAACATCGGCAGGTAGGTCAGCTAAGAGATCTACAGCAACAGGCTTCGGGCGACCCATCTCAGCAATTTTGACAAGCCGTCGTCGACGTTTTCTTTCTGGTATTGGGATTAAGTATGGGGCCGAGGTAGATGGTTGATTGGTTGGGTTAGATGTTGACTCTTGATCTATTCGTGATGTAGAGGCGGTTTAAGTTGTGGCAGTAGGAGGAGAAAGGCTTTTCTTCTTTCGTTTGGGAACGTCGGGCAAAGTCGATTTGTATGTAGGAATAAAGTTGGGAAGAAGAGGTGCTTTTTTTTTGTGAACTGGCAAGTCCAGGAGTTTTTTCAGGTCCTTACTAGGAACGTAAGATTGGCGGAAGTCTTTCGCTGGCTTGCGAACGTCTGCAAGAAGAAACAGACATTAGAAACAGATAAAATAGTGAAGACTTGAACAGAAATAACTAAGTATTGACACTGAGCTCTTACCCTTGCCCTCTTTAATTGATCGGGGAAGAGGGTAGAGATGGGTGTCCTCGTCTGCACCAAACTCCCAGTTTCCCGAAGCAATAACATAGTCATCTCCAGCCCCCTTATTGGAGTTTGGGAGGTCGGCTACGATTTTGAATTCAGTGGACCTCGGCTTAAGATAATAGACGAAGCCTTTTTCCTTCAGGTTAAGGGGGCACATGGTATAACCGTACTGGATATCGGCAAGGGTGATCCTAGCATTCTCCTGCCTAGCTAAAACTATGATGCCATTGATCACTCGATAAGAGTTTATGGCAAGTTGCATAGGGTTCAACTTGTAAAAGTGAAGAATTTCGCGAAAGAGAATGTTAAGTGGGAGCCGGAGTCCGCACTCAGTAAAAGCTACTATGGGAAAGGGCATTGAATCATCTATGGGCATGATGGAGTCGTTATCTTCAACCAGCCTCAGATGGACATCGGCAGGAATAGAGAACTCTTGCCTAAAGTACTCAAGTTTGGTCGGGGTATTTACCCTATGTCTCTACATACCCATAACGTCGCTCTACAATCAGAGGGCTTGGTTTTCAGAAAAAGTATGCTGCTTAAGAGGATTATCGGACCCTGGCGAACGCTAGGTATATGCAGGTAAGGATTGTTTCAGTTTTTTCCTAGAATTGATAGGTTTTATAGACAAATGCCCAAAACTAAATCTATGAGGTAAAATTGAAAGCAGAAATCGAAGGTAGAGATCTGGTAGAGACAGAAACAAAAAACAGAAACCAAGTTGCGTTAAGTTTCGAACATAACAGGGATAGGCTATCAGAACATGAAGAATACGAGAAATAAAGGACCAAGATCAATGGAAAGAATACAGTGACATGGTGCAACGGTGCGTGTGTTAAGATTAGGCAAGGGCCTAATCATGAGTAAACACATTCACTAGATGTATGATTCAGCAAATAGATATTTGAGCAAGGTAGTAAATAACAGGAGATTCGAATGGTCGAAATTGAAATCAGAAGGAACAGTGCTTACAAGCAAATGAAGCCGATGTGAAGGAAACTGCGAGTTCAGTGGTAGTTACGATGTGGCTAAAATGACGAAAGTTCGCACCAGGAAGACAGATACAGAGCTTAGAGGCTTACCAGCATATGCGGAATTCGAAAGAACGAGTTTAGTAGAGGAGAACAACAATGCAATAGTAAAAAATGAAAGGAAGAAGGAAGAGTCTTTTGTCAAAAACAAAAACGGGCGGCAAAAGATAATCATATGCTGGAGCAGCACATACGTCAGGCGGGCGTACGCAGGAAATAACGTGGTTTTATAAAGCGGCGCTCAGCAAACGGACGCAATAAGGTAAAACGCGTAAGAGAACGGTTGAGAATTGTGCATGACAGCTGTACAATGCGCGTGGAAAAGTTCAGCTGGATATTCTTGGTTCTCCGAACGAAAATGTGCTTGAAATAATGATCTCGCTGAAGTTGTTAGCCATGTATAGAAAGAGACTGCGATATAGGTTCCAGTACCTCAGAATGCCGGAGGTTATAGAAGCCCCTAGGGGGCAGTTGTGGGGATATATTTTCTGAGTTACCAACACGTGGCATGGTGACGCCGACATTGTGAACGAGGTGCCACGCTGTCGTTAGTTTGAGTGTTTGCCAAAGGTTATCTTTGAAGCCGAGGTTATCTCGAAGAATTCGGATGCCGAGATAATCGGATATAGATAAAGGGGGCAAGAGTCCTTAGAAGTAAGAGAGATTTTGCTAAGATAAGATAAAGTCTTGAGGGAGTTTATTTTTATCTCTTTGAGAATCAAAGTAAAGCAGCTGGAATGGGAGTCTAGAAGTCAGACTTCTAGTGGGACTAGGATTGAGTTTGGTATAAAGAGAGGCACCCCGTGGGTCTAAGGTATGCAATTTATTGTTTGGAGCATAAGTTTAGCACTTATTTCTTTGGAGATATACTGACTTGATCGTTCGGAGGTGTCCCGGGGAGAAAACACACGGAGCCTTTTCTTTTCTGTTACAGGTTAGCTAAAGCATTCTTCTGCCAGTGCTCTCCAATGATTACTAAACGGGCAGTTGTGGTCAGATTATCTCACCAGAAACTCAGCTTAGTTGTGGCACGCCAGAGCAATATAGGAAATCGAACAAAAATATCATGCAAAAGTCATTATATTTTAAGTATACAATCTAAATCTTAACGAACTACTCACAGGAAAGTACAAGACTTCACAATACCACTATTCAAAAGAAAGAAAGAATAAGAAGAGAAGATGAGGGAGAGGAGTGGTTGAGGGGGAAAGAAGCACAAAAATACAAAAGATCTAACAAAAGCCAATAAGTAATTAGCTAAAAAATTAATTTTTTAAAATATTCTGAGTAATCAAACAGATATACATAAAATAAATAAAAATCGTTTAGAGTTTATACCTTTGATTATAGTCGAAACCATAAATTGATGACCTATCAACAAAAGACCAACAAACATGAAACTGGCAGAAAGAAACACTGGAATTTAGGAATAATTATTAAAGGGAAGAAGGCACTTCATATTTATCAAAACTTTAAAGTGGAAATCTAAAAAGAAATCGAAATCGTTTCTAAAAAAATAACTAATTTTTGGTATTCCAAAATCATGTCACATTAGTAAGGACCATGAACTTTGTGGACTGGCTAAAAATAGTGCTAACTCTGTGGTACCTGCTCCCATGTTTCTCACCTGTTTTCTCATCTATTTTTTATTATCTCCCTCTAACAGCATTGATAAAAAATTGGAGAACTATTTCTCTTAAAAAATGATCTCACATGTAGGTAAGAACAATGGGAGCAACAAAAGCACTGCCTATGATTTTGTTAGGCTTTTATTCCAATGGGGATTAAAACAAGGGATTTCATGGTAGCCGACTCATTTGATGGGACTTAAGGCTTGGTTTGGTTTTGCTTTGGGGATTAAAAAAATAGATAGATACAGGGAAATGGAAAAAAACATTTGCAATTAACATAAATTTCAATATTGACAATAACTTTTAGCAAAAGTTATTCTTAAAGTAACTCAAAATTTACAAAGATATATATATTTCTTCAGATGTTAATGTTTTATCTTTTATTTTTTTCATTATGCACATTTTCACTGTTAGGTTTAAATTCTTCTAATCAATAGATGTATCACCATGTTCATACTTCTCCTTCATGTTTCTTGTTTTTTCTGTAAATCCAACTCGAAATAATGTGTCAAGTTGATTTGGCAAATAAAACTAAGTTAACAATGAAATTTGGATTACTCATATTGGATAACCTAGCATAATTTTATAGAAAAAATGAAGTTTTCAATTTTATGTCAACAATAATTTTTTTTTTAAAAATTGCGTCAGAATAATTAATGGAACTGCAAGGCAAGAGGAAATCAGATTTTAGAATTGACTTATAGAAGTATAGGCAATCGAACAAAGGAGTAAAATTAATTAATAAAGTCCATTATGTTTGTAGATAGTGCAAGGGATAATATACATGGTAGGTCCCATTATACACGGGAGTAACTAAAAGAAATAACGATATTTTAGGTGTCTTTGTCACGGCTCGAATTTCACTTTATAGTTTCATTATCATGCACATGATGTACTAACTCTTTATCAAGAGTATAGCAT